ATTCCGAGAGTATTGATGACCGGGAAAGCTGAAAAGGAGAAAGCAGAAAGGAAACGAAGGTGAGAAACTAAAATCAAGACAAATGTTATATAAGAAACCAACATTGATCTACTGCTTCTCTATTTATAAAATAAACAAAGTTACCACTTCTTTCTTCTCTGATCTGGGTTCAACATCAAAGCCAATGAGATTGGCCACCCTCAAACTCCTCTCCTTCTCATTTTCAAGCTCCAGATGGGATGCACCATATAACTTATCATAAGGAGACACAGACAGTGCAGCTAGAACAACAGATGATGCTATTAACTGCAAATCCTTCTGGCTTAAGTTCTTATTGAAACTTTTCTGAAGAAAAAAGAGTTTGAGCCATGCATAAGCATGATAAAGATGATTTGATGACATCCAGAATATTTCTGTTAGCTTGCCATAGTACACAACCATCAATGATGGTTTAGGAGTTTTCTTGACCATGAACATTAATCCATATATGTCTTCAATAGAACGAAAGGCTTCCTGCGTAATGTCCAAATAAAAAGGTGACAAACAAATTCATGCACCTCAAAGCAATCTCAAAAGGCCGTTGCAAGTGTATAAAAATTCTACGCCTCTCCTATGCGAATATTGTATATGATATCAGAGAAACTAATAGAAACCTGCCAAAGTCCAAGTTCTGTTGAAACTTTGAGTTGCTCAATTCTTGTGTCCAGATACAACTGTAGGCTTTCTGGAGCCGACAGATCCGGACGGTCCCTCTGGTCTCTAAACTTGTTAAGATTTGCCAGATGATTCCGTATGATTTCACAAAGTCGACGTAACTCTGTTGTACGTTTGTACTGCTTACAGAACTGAAAGGCACGGTGAGCCGCCATCTGAGCATATCAAGAGAGCTATAGTCAATTTCATTTGTTGCACCAACAAAATATATTCTTAAAATCCACTTGGTACGAACATAGAAATTATTGTCAACACTCAACAACGATGCAGCAAGCTCAACTGGCACACATGACAAACCGGATTTAGGTGTAACGTTTAAGTTGCAAACAGCTTTCTGATTAAACAATTTATGTTGTCAGATAGAAGCCCATCACATCAAGATAAGTCAATGCAATCAGTAGTAAATGAATAAGGACTGTTTTTATCACAAGAAGCAAGTAACATCATAGTGCATGCAGACTACTGACTCAAAAGTACTGTTTCAAAAAAAAAAGAACTACCGACTCAAAAGTAAACAAGAAAAAGAAAGGATAAACAACCAACTAACTCTAACAGAGACAAGGTCCATGGTGATTGATGCGAAAATACAAGCAAAGAAGTGAAGCGCACAGTTTCGAAAAATTATATAACATGTATGAATTTAGCACCATTAATAATCAAATTGCAATCAAAACAACTAATCTCAACATCCAATGTACAACAGTGCAATAATGATCCAACTGTTGAGTTGAGATTCAAAGAATCATCATTTCTTGTTTGAATCACTATGCATATTATTATTTGAAGCACATACTTCAATGAAGCGCCTCACTTTGTATCGATTTATCACTTTAAGCGACAACACAATGGTTTTTAATAACATTGAAACAACCTGCTCAGTAACTTACAATCTAAACAAGATACTGAAAAGTTAGGATAACCAAATCCCTCATGTGCCGACATAAACACAGTATGAGGTTGACTCCAAAATCTTAGAAGAAAAGGAGAATAACAAATAAAGAAAGAAAGAAATGGAGAGGGGTAGGGGTACTTACAGCATACAGAGCCTCCAACTTTGAGTTATTGCGCAAGATCTCTAGAACAGTTCTATATGTCTCCCACAAGAACTTAAACCAGGGTGTGACCAGTTCACGATCAGATCTATCTTTACCTTTCTCCCCACTAACATAACTCAACATAAGATCTTCAGGTCTTTTATCAGCTTCTAAGTCTTCCACATTCAGAGCTTCCTCTAAGGCCTGTGCTTGACTGCGAGCCAGTTCAGCTCGCTCAGTGGCTAAATGCATAAAATGCTTTATCACCTCCTCCAGTGAACTAATGTTCACTTGTTGACAGACACTACGATATTGAATTAGGCCATCCTTGGCAAACCTCCCCCTTCTCATGTCAACACATAACTCTACATACTTGAACATTATTCTCTCATGTGTCTTTGTCCATGCTCTATACCTCCTTGATGTAATAAGATCATGAAGTGCTTGCAAGGCCTCTTGCTTTTGTCCAACATTAATCAGCTCTGCATCAGAAAATTAAGCTCAGAAATGATTAAAGAGAACAATTGAGTGCTTTTGATTGCCCAATACAACCAATACGGCAAACCTAAAGACATAATTTGTGCTTGTATAATACAAAACATTTAAGACACTTAAGTGTACTAAATGCTCCATCCCCCACCCCCACTAACCCACCCACCCAAAAAAAGACGATGACAGAACAACTAACCTTCAGCTCGCTTCAAAGCACTCTCAGGTTTGGCAAAATTCGCCATTGTGAGGATCTAGAAAGCTCGACCTTTCACCTGAAGATGAGTAGTTAGATGAAAGAAAATTAGACAAAATCTTCCAACTACAAATAACAACAATATGACCTTTAAATACTTGAATCATGTGCCAAGGAATTGCTAAAAATAATCCTATACAATGAGCCATAGAAAAAGCAGGAATTAGTCTTTTTTGCTAAAAACAAATAGCAACACTCATTGTTTTGAAACATAAATGAGTTCCTTGGAATCTTTCACTGGGTGAAAAAACTGAAGGCACCACAGATTTTGCAAAGTTACAGAAAACTAAGAAGTTTAGAACAACAATGTAGAAGAAGAACAACCATTATTTTCTTTCCATCTCCAATTTTACAAACCAGAAAAGTAAAAAGAAAAAAAAACTTTCTGCAAGACAATACGATCTCAATCCTCACACAACTATCCAGATGAACGATATTTAATAATCAACTACGCCTCAATTTGTGGTCCAAACTAGTAAATAATACAATGCATTTTCAAAACAAATTATGATATGCTTAAAATACAGCATATCAAAGCCGTCTGAAAGATGGAATACAAAAATAAGAGCAATAACAACAACGAAATAATGTGAAAAAGATCATTATTACTAATAAACTAAGATAAAAATTCAACTTCAAATCTGAAAATTTACAGCACAAACTCAACGCAAAATATTCACGAAAAAATCCAAAAATTACTGATCCAACTGCATTATATGCATATTAATGCACATACCTGTATAGAGAATTCTGTGTGCTAAAACCACCAATTATAAACAAAAATAATCATTAAAAAGGGACCAAAAAATAGAAAAACATGTGAAAACTAGCAACATTGCTATACAAAATTATCAAAAAATTAGAGAAATTAATATATACCTGGATTTCGATCTATTTAATCGGCCGCTGTATCGTTTTGCCCTAAAACCTGCGAAGAAGAAGAAGTTTAATGGATGAGATGTTGGGGTTTATAGTTTTTGGTAGTTTTATTAAGACCGGGTATAGTGTATATGTCAGCTCCGGTTCAATTAACCCGGTTTTTTCTTACCTCTTGGCCTCTTGGAAATTGGAACTTGGGGTTGGATTCCAATTTTGGAAAAATGCTCTCATCTAAAAAAAAAATGTAAGGGAAAATTACTTTATTAAGTAAATATAATAATTACTACTATAATTTTAAAATATGATTCCATCTAAAAAATTCTTGTTTGTGATTATATATGATTCCATCTTTATTATGTATACAAAATGGTGAAACAAGAGAGACTATTTCTTTATTTAGTAGGGGTTTGATCATGCGATATCATATCACGATATGAAATCGTGAGATGGAATCAACGTTTGGACATGCAATTTCATTCCATATCATGAGATGGAATACCATATTCTTCAAAAATCATGATATGGGAACTCCATATCATGATTTGAAATTTTTTAAATACAAAAGTTGACCCACAAATTTATATTTTGTTAAAACAACCTCACGTTATATTTACTAAACATTTATTTCATAGGTAAATAAAATTAATAATCACATCATTACTTTTTAAAATTTATTATTCTCACCAACATAAAATTTATTATTGTTTTCAATTTGGTGAATATAAATGATAAAGTAAGAATTGATTTGGTGAATATAAATACAAACGGAGGGAGTAATACTTTTTTGGTTTTTCATAATAAAAAAACTTCTTTTTTCAGCTACGTATGAAAATGTTGTAATTTAATATGAAAAAGGACAAAATTGGTGATGTATGTTTGATAATCACTACTTCCAATGTGTTTAATTTTAGCACGAAATTAATGCACTAAAAATGTTCAATTGCACACAAGGGAAACAAGGCATGAACCATATGATATTGAGTATTGACACACAAGTAAAATTGTCATAACTCGTACAGTGTTACATAATTATTTGCGATAATACCAAAAGGGTGATGAAATATTTATGGTCTATGAGCATGAAAATATAGTTGCGAATGATATTGACTAACAAATGGCTCAAAGTGAGAAAATTGTTTGTACTATGTGAGAGGATTATATTAAAGACTAGTACACTACAATTTATGTTCCAACTTTTTTATTGAATTAAAGTTTAATCAATTAAAGTTAGATGAAACAATTAATTAAGTGGAGAACATATAGCTTTGTAATACTTTATTATAAGATTTTATAATTTTTTGTTTATTTGATAAGATGGAATAAGCAATTGGGGCTATTTTAATAGTTTTACAACTTATGAGATTCTTATATTTATGAGAAAATATACAACACAAAAATTTCATATCGCATGTTCAAACAAAACTTCAACTTCAGCTCATGATTTCATATTATGATATCATATCATGATTCCATAACGCATGGCCAAATGGACCCTTAGAATTTTATAGTAAATCTCTCTTATCTCTTATCTTTTTCTTTTTTTTAATTCAAACTTGGGCATAACCCATTTATTACTGAAAACGAATTTGACCCTGGCCCAAAAGTGACCTGGATCCATAAACAACAACCAAAAAATCTAAAAAATGGAAAGTAATCTAAAACAGAGTCCCAAGAACACTTCTCCTTCCAGATTTGTCATCAATGTTCCTCCGAACTGACCCTAAATTCGTCATCTTGTTGTTGAACCAGTATTGTTGAGCTTGAGTGAATTCCATCTCTACACTTAACATCTCACAAGTGCCATGGAATCGACCTCCTTGAAGACTTCTTCAGCTCAAAATGGGTTCAAACAACAAATCTAGGAGCTTGGTAGCCATGACCCAGCAATCTTCATCTAGAATCAGCTGAGGCGATAAATACTCTTGAGTCTTTCCCTCTACGCAGAATGAGCTCCGAAGAACTGATACCACTGCGAAGAGATCCATTTTCAAGAGGTATTTTCGACTCCACTTTCCCTTAGCTGTTATGAGCAATAGATGTGTGAATCATATTCTGTTGTTACTGTAACTCTTATAGTTGCTTCTGCTTTTGATTTCCGCCGACTTGTCACTTTAATTCCTAATTCCTTATTTGTGTATTGAATCCCTTGTTTTGCATCTTCTTAATCCGTATATTTGGGATTTTTCTTTGTTCCGTTATAAAGCTCTCTCTATCTCGCATCTCTTTTCATATTCATGGATTGCATCACTCTATTTTTACCCTTCAAGATTGTATTGAACAATGAGACTCCATAGCAAAGACAAATAATTAACTCATACAAGATTGAAAAAAAATTATTGATACAATCTGATACAAGTAACGATTGGTTGAGATTATCTAGTTATAATTTTAGGAATATATTATCTAGTTCATTATAAAAAATGATAAATTTGTGTCAAACTAATGATAATGATAATGAGCGTCATCAATTAAGATTTAGCATAATTTCAAATTAACAAGCATGTTTGTTTGTATGATTGTATATATATATTTTTTTATAGTTTTTAGAACTTATAAATATCAGTCTTTTATGTTTGTTTTTTTTTTAAATTAAAACTTCAATCCAAACTTCACCCAAATTTATTTTTTAATTTTTTTTTAAAATTATCGTTAAACACTAGCTTACTAGCCTCACCTTTCTTCTTTTTCTTCAAACGAGTCATGATTTTACTATCGACTTTGAAAGTTTTTAGATTTGATTAACGAGGATTGGTGTGCTCTTCATTAGAATTTGAGCAAAGTATGAAAAATAGTGTATATCTACACTTCAGGTAATTTGTGATTGTAAGAAGCAAGCTTGTCCACAACCTTGTCCGCGACCTTATTAGCTTCTCTAAAGCAATGTCTGGTTATAATATGATTGGAATCCGCCAAAATGTTAATCTTTTTCACAGGATTCTCGATTCTCCAAGGCAGATTCCAGTTATCTTTTGATACAATTTTGAGGGAGGGGTCTCGCCTATGATCAAATTGTACCCATTTTCGATACACGAGTTGATCCCAAACAAGGAGGAGGCAACTTCAGCATAGTTGCTAGTACCTTACCCGAATGGTATTACTTGACTTGAATACAAATTAGTCTGGGTTCCAAAGTAAGCTATTTGCAATATTGATGAATACAATGTATTGTTTTCCGTCATTACATACTGTCATCAATCTATCAACAATCTGAAGAATAAGTCAATACAAGGGCATGAAAAAGAAATGGTTTCTACAATTTATTGGATAAAAAAGAATAGAGTATCCCATTGAACTGCAACTATTCTTATAATATGATCCATAGTTTGAGGAAGCACTCTAAATGTGAAATCTTCAGTTGTTATTAACATCTCTTCAAACTCCAGAACCAAAATCTTAGGGTAAAATATCAATCAAACTTCAAAAAAAATAATTAAACATGTCTGATCCTTCACAACAAATACATATGAGTAGCTCGTAGAATCAAGCAACAAATTAAACACTCCGATGAATGATGTCTAATAAAATATAGGGACACATCTTATATTAGACCACCATAAAGCTCGTTCAAGAATCAAAATTTAACGCTTGGTACTGATATCATCTCTAGCCAAATTTTTGTCCCACAAGCTATGAACAGTTTAATTAAGATGATTGCATCAAGATTCTCCCTTTTACAGGTCTATCTGATATCTAATCATCCATACCTAGTTCACACGGCTTTTAATTACATCAAGTCCCATTTCAGTTGGATCAGTAGCCTGCAACTCAATCTGAATTCCGTCAAGTTCTCTCTTGAATCTGTCCTTTGAACTGGCATAGATCATCTTGCTTCTCACTCTTGCTGTGTCAGGGGACCTTAACAAAGAAAAAACCACAAATGAGACAATTAGTGTGTGACTCTATCGTATCCATCAAAATGTATAGGAACATTTTGAATACCATGCGATGAAAAAGATCCTGCTTTTTTGGCAATTTTCCTCAGTCACGAAGTCAAAATCGTAGACAGCATATCTGCATTCATCAGCAGGAAGACTTTCAGCAAAGTCCTCGTAGCTTTGAGTTGGCTCACCAACTTTTTCAACCACAACCTGCTTTTGCTTCTCTTCTATCTTGAAAACAATAAATCGGTGAGACCTTTTTGTTTTCAGCTCAAAGAACGTTAATTTGCAGTCATCATGCACTGCCATCCCAGATGCTGCGTTAGCCTATAGCAAGAAGAATCACATCCCCCAATCATGTTAGAAAATTTCTACATATAATTAATCACATGAGCATCTATAGCTCAAAAATTCTAATGCAATTAAAAAAGAGCTGAAGAATATAATAGGAATGGACCTTCAAGATAAATTTCCATTGCATCTAGTTGATCAATCAACACCCGTAAACCAGTAGAATTCAAATTCTACTCTGTTTCTTTTTTCTTTTTCCTTTAACCCACAATTTGGTAATTTTAATCCCAAAACTCATGGTTGGTGGTGGAGACATTTTCATTATGTTATTCGTAACTTATCAGGCCATTGCATTACTATGCAGCAGCAATTTTGTTTGTCTGAACACCATTCAGAATACAGAATAACACCTATCTCACCCGTTCTTTCATTTCGAGATAAACTTTTTTAAATGGATGATAGGGAGAGCGGAGGGGTAAAGGTTTTGGCAACAAATGCAAGCGAAGACATCATAACAAAACTAAGTGGGTTGGAGAACCATGACGTCTCAGGTTCAAATCCGCTGAAGAGAAAAACAAAAGGTGATTTCTTTTCATATGTTCAATCCTTGGGCAGAGTTATCCAAAACATGTGTTGATGGGAGGTGACATGTAATTATGAAATTAGTCGAGATGGACACAAGCTGACTCGAACACCACAGGCCATAGTTATAAGGAGAAAATGCAGACGAAGACATCATAAAAGAAAAAAATAAGTGATCTTCCTAAATATTTTCAGTACACTACATTGCTATTTCACACTGGTAATAGCTGGTTAAACTCTAAAATGAAAAAAATAAAATAAAACATAATCATTTAGAAGTAGGAAGAAATCAATCATCCTATTCATTATACAGTTGACTAGGGTAACTAGGGTCCACTATACACGGAAAACATTTTTTCAGTTTTTTTGATAACCATGGTATTCGGGCCAGACCTTCCACCTAACTCTGTCCATCAGGCTAGAACATGAAATCACCTAGTTGAACCTGAGATCTCATGATGCTCAACCCACGTTATTGACCACTAAGCCACACCCTTGGGTGCTGCAGGAACATCTCAAAAGACATAAATCCTAGGAGTATATAGTTTTCTTTTTTTATAAGTCCAAATATCCTAGATTAAAAATAAGAATACATCAGTTTGAAAGAGTATAAGTCCATGTCCATTAAGGGAAATTAAATGATGTGTAACAAAGTCAGTAGATCAATCAAATTATCAAACACCTTATATACCAGGTCACTTTTTCAGCTGAACCCAGATGAAAATAAATCATAAATGTTCAACTAATCAATATATAATCGAATCAATCCTGAGTTTCTACAAGATCTCCCACACAGCTGATATCAAAATATTCTACAAAAATCACCACTAAAGGAAGTGGTGCAGCGTATGGGTCTGCTGCTACTCCTTTAACGAGATCTCAATTTCGATCTTACATACGGAAAAATCCCAAGTACGGACTGTTTTCCCCAAATGAGCCCTATGCAGCGCGAATCCAAATTAATCGAACTACAATGCAAATGCAAACACTAAACACCATATAGAAAGAAAAAAAAACTACAAAATTCACAATTTAGATGAACAACCAAATAGCTTCTCTCTAATTAGATAAATCACATATCAAAATCCCAAAAAACAAAAACGATCATACAACACACAACACAACACAAAAGAAAGGTTATGCTTATTTGAAAGTAAAAAAAAAAAAAAAGGAGAAAAAATAGAAGACTCACCATTTTGGTTGTACTGAGAGAGAGTATTAAGTTTGAAGGAGAACGAAAATTCAGAGAGATAAAAAGTAATAAGGAATATAAGAAGTTAAAAAGGAGGATTTTGTGTAGCTGAATAACGGGGTTTCGGTGAATTTAGAGCGGAGAGGCAGTTGGGGTGGGGAGTGTAAAAGCAATGACTTTGCGCCGCGTAAAAGATTTTTGTTTTTATATAATATATACGCAGAATGCATAAATATGACTCTTAACTCAGCGTCAACAGGTAACTATAATTTTTAAATTTGGATATTCATAAGTAGGCACTTAAACTTGAACAAATTGAACACATTCGTCATATATGGCACCCTACATGACAATTTTGTGTCCAACATGACGTCCTACATGTATTATGTCATGTAGAACATGTATATCTACTTGTTCAATTTTATACAAGTTTAAGTGTCTACTTATGTACATTCAAAGTTAGAAGACATAATTGTCCTCTCAAGCCAAGTTTAAAGTCATGCTTATGTTTTATGCGTAATATATGTCGTTTAATTTGGTTTCAAGTAATATATATGCTTCTAACTTTAAGTGTGCATGTATAGTCACTTAAATTTATATAAAATTGAATAAATAGACATATTTATTATATCTGGTGCTATATTTGATTTATTAATTTTTAAAATCGTTATACCGATATTAGAATGTTAGTTAGTATTTAAAATTTTTATTTAAATAATAGTAATTTTATTCTATAACATTTATCTACTAGGAGTACATAATATGTCATACACGTGCAATATACGTTTTGCTGAGCTAGTAAATAAATGTATTAGAAACAATCAAATTTAAACTGAATTTTGTTACTATTCTTTCTTTTCCCGTGAGTAGAACGCTCACCAATAACATGCATTGTGTAATTCTATATCAATTCTGAATTAGATTTTATCAGTATTCTTTTTTTCTCGTGAACAAGAAGCACACGAACAACATGTATTGAGTGATTCTATATCAACTTTAAGCTGGACCATATTATTATTTGTTCTTTCAGAAAATTGTGTTTTATATCAAAATATTAATTCAAAATAAATGTTATAACTATAGTTTCATTTAATTCCAATTCGCAACAAACTTCTTACCATCTGCCTTTCTCCCCTCTCTCTGAAATCTCGCTCGTCACTCTCCTCTTTTTCAGTCATCTATCCCTCGTCATTCTCACTTTATACAAACACAAATATATAATTTGTATTTGCGTGTGTAAAGCAAGAGAGACTGTATATACAAACACAAATACATATATTTCCATCCTATACACTTATAATTATACAAAATACAAATCTTACGCTACCCAGTTCTCTTTTGTCTTTCTCTCTCTCGATTTATACAAACACAAATTATGCAAAATATAATGTATAATTTGTGTTTGTATAAAGCGAGAGAGAGATTTGACATACAAATACAAATATTTTACCTCGATTCAATTGTATATGAATTCAAATTGTATGCAGATATACCAACACAATAATTGATACATATACATAGTAGTTACATATATATTATTATCAAACCGATATACATATATACTTCACCTATCTCCACTCTCTGCCCTCTCTCGCTCGCCTCTCTCCTCTCTCTCCCAATCTCGCTCGTTAGTCTAGCCTAACACAGAGAACATATACATATACAAACACAATTTTCATAAACACATACGAATTAGCACCCGATTTATACTAATCACCGCAATTTATACAAATTAGATGCTCCATAGCAAAAATAATTTGGTTATGAAGCGCAAATAACAAAACTATAGTTATAACGCGCTAATATGATTTTTATCTTTGGTATTCCTAAAATTTACTCTTATTCTTTTATCGTTCGTATACCTAACAATGTGTAGTGCATGATTCTACTTTGTATGGTAAAAAGAGAAAAAATGTTAATGAAACGGAAAAGAAAATGAGTAAAAGATTAATAACTATATTTTTTTTTATTCCTTAATTATTGATAAAAATTACTTGTGATCCTTTTCATCCTGGTAGATTAAGCTAGTATTATATTAATTTAAGGGCGAGCTATAAAAATTTTATTACTTTAGATTTTAATTACTAAAATTCATAATAGTTTGTAATATTACTTTTTATACTATATTTTGACCGCGAGATACATGTATCATTAAAAGGGAGATACATGTATCCATCAGTTTTAAAAGTCAAAATAACATAGAATTATTTCAAATCACATAGTCAAACTCTGTGTTAAAATCATAACTTTATATCGTGTACACAAAATGCAAGCTTAGATTGCAAAAAACTAGGTTATTTTTTTCTTATAAATTTTAAAAATTATTGTTTTCTCAAATTTTCAACAAGACATCCAAAGAGGAAAAGCTAACGCTTCAAGGTTCCACGTGGCAAAATAACATAGGATTATTTTAAATCACATTTGAATCCTATTTTGAAATCATACCTTCACATCGCGTACACAAAACGCAAGCTTAGATTGTAAAATATGAATTATTTTTCTATATATTTTAAAAATTATTATTTTCTCGAATTTTAAATTAGATATTTAAAAGGAAAAAAAACTTACTCATTAAGGTTCCACGTGGTAAAATAATATAGGATTATTTCAAATCAAATATTCAAATGCTATGTTGAAATCATACCTTTATATTACTTATATACATAAACCGCAAGCTTGTAAAAATCTGGATTATTTTTTTTCTATAAATTTTAAAAATTATTAATATCTCAAATTTTAAATTAAATATTCAAAGTGGAATAAGTCGACTCATCAAGGTTCTACGTGGCAAAATAACATAGGATACAAATAATATTTTAAAATCATAACTTCATATAGCGTAAACAAAACGCAATCAAGTTTTTTTCAATAAATTTTTAAAATTAAATATTTAAAAGGGAAAACACTTACTCATTAAGATTCCACGTAGCAAAATAACATAAAATTATTTCAACTCGCTTATTCAAACGCTATTTTGAAATCATATCTTCATACTGCATACACTTTCGCTAACTTAGATAGTAAAAACCTATGTTAGTATTTTTTTTCTATTAAAAACTATTTTCTCAAATTTTAAATTAAATACCCAAAGGGGAAAAATGTGAGTCATGAAGTGCCACGTGGCAAAATAACATAGGATTATTTGGTATGGGCCCTACACAAAGATATAAAAATAGTACCACAATAACTTCCCCATGACCCTATCTTTTCCCCTTTCTCGTTCCTTCCAAATCTCATCTCACTTTCCTCCTTGTTTTCTCTCTCCTCTCTTTCAATACCGCGAAATCTCAAAAAATAAAATAAAATTCAGTTGTTTTTTTTCCATTTATATTTCCTTCATCCTTCTTTGTTTCTTCATTTGAAATCCCTAATTAAAACCCTACCCATAAATCTTTCCTTTAATTGTTAAAAATCAAAATCAAAATCAAAAGCAAATTAAGTGTTGAGTTCTCAGATCTGTGTTCCAATTTTTGTGGTTTTTTTTCCAATTTTTTTGGGTGTTTATCCGTAGATCTCTCAAAAGTTGTTTTTCTGTATATTTCGATATTCAGATTTGGGATTTTCGAGTTTTGAGTTTTGAGTTGTGGAGACAGGGTAAAATTGAAGAAAGTTTTTCTGGAATTGGTTAGTTTTTTTTTTTTTTTTTTTAAGGGTGGTTAAGTATATTTTTTTTTTTGGAGTTGTGGTGAGTTTTTTTTAAGTTAATTGTTTGTTCATTTTCTGAATAAATTTGTGTTTGTGTGGTGGTTTGAGTTTGTGATAAGGTGTATTTTGAGATGGGGGAAGGGGAACGTGGCGTTTGTATCGCGGTAATGAGTGATGGAATGATGGAAATTGAGAAACCGGTTGATGTTGATTCAAAGTGTGATAGACAACGGGTTGTAGATGGAACTGAACAGGACTTATGTGTTGAGAAGCAGAAATGTGAAACTTTAGAATTAGTGGCATTGAGTGATGGAATGATGGAGATTGAGAAACCCGTAAATGTTGATTCAGAGTGTGATAGACAACGGGTTGTAGATGCTACTGAACAGGAGTTATGTGTTGAGAAGCAGAAATGTGAAACTTTAGATGGTGTAGAAGTAGTGGCAATGAATGATGGAATGATGGAAATTGAGAAACCCGTAAATGTTGATTCAAAATGTGAAAGAGAATGGGTTGTAGAGGCTACTGAACCGGAGCTATGTGTTGAGAAGCAGAAATGTGAAACTTTAGATGGTGTAGAAGTAGCGACAATGAGTGATGGAATGATGGAGATTGAGAAACCCGTAAATGTTGATTCAAAGTGTGATAGACAACAGGTTGCAGATGCTACTGGACAGGAGTTATGTGTTGAGAGGCAGAAATGTGAAACTTTAGATGGTGTAGAAGTAGTTCCAATGAGTGATGGAATGATGGAGATTGAGAAACCCATAGATGTTGTTTCAAAGTGTGACAGACAATGGGTTGTAGATGCTACTGAACAGGAGCTATGTGTTGAGATGCAAAAAATTGAAACTTTAGATGCTGTAGAATTTGCTGCATTGAGTGATGGAATGATAGAGATTGAAAAACCTGTGAATGTTGATTCAAAGTGTGACGGACAATGGGTTGTAGATGCTACTGAACCAGAGCAATGTGTAAAGAAGCAAAAATTTGAAACTTTAAATGGTGTAGAATTACCTGCAATGAGTGATGGAATGATGGAGATTGAGAAACCCATGAATGTTGATTCAAAGTGTGACAGACAATGGGTTGTAGATGCTATTGAACCGGAGCTATGTGTTGAGAAGCAGAAATTTGAAACTTCAGATGCTGTACAATTTGCGGCAATGAATGATGGAATGGTGGAAATTGAGAAACCCATAAATGTTGATTCAAAGAGTGACAGACAAGGGGTTGTAGATGCTACTGAACAGGAGCTACGTGTTGAGAAGCAGAAATTTGAAACTTTAGATGCTGTAGAATTAGATTGTCGTGTGACTAATCACACTACGAATTGCGCACCTGAAACTGTAGATGGCGTAGAAGTAGAATGTTGTGCCACAAACTGTGCACCTGAAACTGTAGATGGTGTAGAAACAGAGTGTTGTGCCACAAATCGCGAACCTGAAACTATAGATGGTGTAGAATTAGAAGGCTGTGCCACAAATCATGAACCTGAAACTTTAAACAC